TGGGAAGGCTATTTTTTAATCAAATTTTGGTGCTCCTAAATTTTTGACTGTGCTCCTAAATTTTTTAAGTTAGGAGCACAAGCGCTCCTAAAAAGAAACATAAGCGTAGAGCCCTGATACTCTCTCTCTCTCTCTCACACACACACACCCACCCACACACACACACACACACACTCTCACACATACCCACCCACACACACACACATACACTCTCACATATACCCACCCACACACACACACACACACACTCTCTCTCTCTCTCTCTCTCACACACACACACCCACACACACTCACTCTCGCTCTCTCACACATACCCACACACCCTCTCTCTCTTTCACACATACCCACCCACACACACACACACTCTCTCTCTCTTACACATATCCACACACACACACAAACACTCACTCTCTCTCACACACACTCTCTCTCTCTCGCTCTCTCACACACACACACACACACACACTCTCTCTCTCTCTCTCTCTCTCTCTCTCTCTCTCACACACACTCTCTCTCTCTCGCTCTCTCACACACACTCTCTCTCTCTCGCTCTCTCACACACACTCTCTCTCTCTCGCTCTCTCACACACACTCTCTCTCTCTCGCTCTCTCACACACACTCTCTCTCTCTCGCTCTCTCACACACACTCTCTCTCTCTCGCTCTCTCACACACACTCTCTCTCTCTCGCTCTCTCACACACACTCTCTCTCTCTCGCTCTCTCACACACACTCTCTCTCTCTCGCTCTCTCACAAACACACTCTCTCTCACACACACACTCTCTCTCTGACACGCACTCTCACTCTCACACACACACGCACTCTCTCTCACACACACACGCACTCTCTCTCACATACACACACGTACTCTCTCTCACACACACACGCTCTCTCTCTCTCTCTCTCTCTCACACACACTCTCTCTCTCTCATACACACACGTACTCTCTCTCACACACACACGCTCTCTCTCTCTCTCTCTCTCTCACACACACACTCTCTCTCTGACACGCACTCTCACTCTCACACACACACTCACTCTCACACACACACGCACTCTCTCTCACATACACACACGTACTCTCTCTCACACACACACGCTCTCTCTCTCTCTCTCTCTCTCTCTCTCTCTCTCTCACACACACACACACACACACACACCGTCCAGCCTGCAGTTGTCTTTCCTCAGGTCGTTCATCTTCTCCTCAGTGTTTCTCCTCTCCACCGCCGCATCTCTCCTCACCACAGCAATGTCGTACTCCATCGTCTGCCGCTGCGCCTCGCCGCGCTCCACCTGCGCCCGCAACCGCGCCGCCTGCGCCTCGTACCGCGCCACCTGCAGGACACACCATACACCCGCTCACAAACCACATCAGGAACGACTGCAGCTTTCTAGTGTCAACACAATCATGTGAAGAGAGTTATCCTGGTATCACTGCTGTGCTATAAGAGTTTTTGTTGATATTTTGAATTAGAATTCATTTTTATATTTTCTGTTTTTACTTTAATTTGTGTTTTTGTAATTTTTGCTTATAAATTTGTATTTTTTCCATTTTAGTTGAGTTATTTTAGCGCTTCAAGTTAAACTAATTTCTTTGTAAACTAGCTAGTTTTCTTAGATTTTATTTCAATTAACGTTTAAGTAATGAAAATGTTTTTCCGTCACGTTTAATTCAGTGTCGTGCATTTATCTTCTAGAAAATCATTGTTAATTCTGAATTTCTAAACCAATTTTCTGAACATGTCTTTCTGCAGTCCAATCAAAAAAAATTAAAAGTGCTTTATGTAAAACAAATGATTAATAATCAGAAAATAACCACAACATGCATAATTAAAATTATTGATGGCAGAAGTTAACCTTATTACTTTGTTACACTTTATTTGTAGAATAAGTCTACGGTGTAATTATACATTTAAGTAGTGAGTAACTTTAATTAACAACGTGCTTATAAGATCATGTTTGGTTTAGGGTTAGTTGCATGTAATTCTGCATAATTTACTGCTATTACTGTAGTAAGAATTTGTAACATGTAACAAGTACAGTGTATATATTATACAGTGTGTATAACCTACATGATTCAATATTATTAAGTAATTGTATTAATGCTAATTATATTTAATGTTTTAGTTATATTTAAGTAATAAAATGAGTCAAGCAGAATGTAAAAATTGTGGTTGATCAGTTTTTATTTATTTGTACACTTGATTAAATTTTTACACTGTTCTTATTATACACGACCAGTCAAATGTTTTTGAACAGTATGATTTTTAATGTTTTTTAAAGAAGTCTCTTCTGCTCGGCAAGCCTGCATTTATTTGACACAAAGTACAGCAAAAACAGAATATTTTTTATTATTTAAAATAACTGTTTTATTTTAAAAATGTAATTTATTCCTGTGATTTCAAAGCTGATTTTTTTTTTGCATTTTTAGATATTTGAATTCTATTTAATTAGAATTAAATATATAGACTCAAGTAGATTGTAAAAATTGTTGTAGATATAAATTTTCATTTATTTGTACACTATTTTTATTTTTACAGATTTTTGTACACTATTTATTTTCACAGTTTTTGATATTTTTAATAAATCAAGTTATTTTTAATGATATAAATGATAATAATTCTAACTATATTGAATATCATAAAACAGAGAGTTCCGGTCCTTGATTCTGATTGGCTGAGCCGCGTTCGAAGCTGTAACAAAGTAACATACAGCTTTGTTTACGTTTGTGTTGCTCGGCAACCACTTTGTAGCAACCACAACTGTTTCTGAGGCGCTACATTGTTTGGTGGAAGAATACTGTTTTTATTAATATCATTACACTTTATTTGCTCTGTTTTATTTTGTGAAACCTTACCACATATATAACCGTTTAATAAAAGCAATAAGCCCCGTGAAGCCGTGGTTTACAGTGAATTTGAGGGGGTTAAAGGGGTTAGGCTTCGCGTCGTGCCTAACAACAGCTGTTATAAATTCACGGCTTCACGGGGATTATTGCTTCAATCATATTTAATTAAAAGTAATATAATGACTCAAGAAGTGGTTGATATCACGTTTGAATTGTGGGATATACAGTAAAGTCATGGGTTAATTTCCCAAAGAACGGATGAACTGATCAAAAGTAAACTTTCAATGCAATGCACGTCGCTCGCATCTGCCAAATGCATGTGTTTGTTCATTAATCTGCCATCTGACGGACAGCGTGACGTACCTCTTCATTGTGCTTGGAAGCGAAATCCAGTTTCTCCTTTTCCAGCTGGTTAATCGTCCACCTCAGCTCAGCTGAGAGAGTAAAATCCTCTCCCGTCTCTCTCTCAGCGTCCCGTCTGTCTCTCTGCAGCCGACCGATCACGTCCCTGAGCCTGTAAACACACCACACCAGGTCGTATACGTGCATCGCATTAACATGTTAGAAACACCTAACAGAGTCTCAGAGGAACCTGTCGATCTCCTCCGGTGAGTTCTGCGCAGACGGCGCCGCGGCTCGCGGGTGAGACGCCCGCAGGGTGGAGACAGGGTCTTTACGTTTGGTCCGACTGCCACGGCGTGGACGAGCGGCAGGCGGCTCTGTGGACATGAGGTCAGCGTGACGCTACGCTTCTGAGGTCTGCGAAACAAGAGCATCATTAGACTCTGAATAATCACTTTATTATGAACAAACGTGACCCTGGAGCACAAACCCAGTCATACGGGTCACTTTTGTGAAATTGAGATGTGTGCATCAGCTGAAAGCTGAATAAATAAGCTTTCCATTGATGTATGGTTTGTTAGGAGAGGACAATATTTGAAAATCTGGAATCTGAGGGTGCAAAAAAATCTAAACATTGAGAAAATCATCTTTAAAGTTGTTCAAATTAATCAAATTTTAAGTTTAGATATATTTACGCTAGGAGACTCACTAAATATCTCCATGGGACATGATCTTTACTTAATATCCTAATGATTTTTAGCATAAAAGAGGAATGTATCATTCTGACCCATACACTGTATTGTTGGCTATTGCTACAAATACATCATTAATGTATCACAAGGTATTCTGCATTACAGTTTTAACCAAAGTTACAATATGCTACATCTTAAATTGCTTGCTTGTCATCCGTTGTGAAGTAAAAGTACTTTCTAAAGGTATAACAATGTATATATAAGTGTTACATTATACATTGCATTATAAGGTGCACTGCAAGGCACGCATAATACTTCTATAATGCATTAACGTTACATATAAAGTCTTCGAGAGTTAACGGTTACCAAAAATACAAGTTTAGAGACGCGTTTAATAAATCTGGTTGCGTTTGACAATATGACAAAAACCACGTTTTAAATATAGGTGGTTTATTAAAAAGCAATAAATAATACGGTCAATAAAATCGAAGCGAACTTAATGAAATTAACGCCGTTTTGTTTGTTTCGAAAAGCGATACACGGTTAATTCAAAATAACGTGAGTAAAACTAAACACCGACTTACTATTTGAAGGCCTGCGGTGCTCGCACATCAGTGTTTGATGAAATATCGAAGTTAAGCGAAATAAAAACACTTAAATCCGTGTTATTATAAACCCCCTCAGCGTCTGTTTGAATCTGACGCCATGTTTTCTCCTCCGCCCTCACCATGACAACAACCTCAAGCGAAAAACAGCGCGAAATATCCCTCAAAACATTTACTTTTAATTAACACGTATATGTTTTTTATTTATGTTTATTTTTTAGTTAAATGACTAAATAAAGGGTTGAAATATTCTAAAAGTCTTTACTTTGCCGCGTCCTTCCGCGGAATTTTAACTATTTAACGACCGATTTTAACAAACGGTGATGAAACTGATCTTGCTTTTCAGTTTACGAATGTAATTTTAAATTCGCGACTAATTACGCATAAGCTAAAATACGTAGTAATTAAACTTAATATTGAGAAGAAAGCTGTTAATAATTATATTTAGAAAAAGCTCGACTCCACCCCCCCCCTCTCTCAGTAGTGGTACATTCCTCGGTCGCTCTGAGCGGGAGGCGGATCGAACTATTTCACTTGCGCTGAGGGGAGACAACACATTCTCATGCAGGTCTCCAAGTCCTTTCATTCATTGCGTGATAATATTTTTTAATTCGCGTGTTTTCCGTTTTGTTTTTAAATCTGAGAGTTTTTAGAGTGGTCTCTGAGAGAGTAGATATGCAGAAGGGAGTGAAGGTAAGTGTTTACACACACAATATGCTTATGTTAGCCTGAGCTAGCCGAACACGGCTATCGTTGTTTTATTTATTTAACGTTACCTCAGTGTCGATAGCAATGCAATTATAATAAAAGCATATTATTGTTTAACAGAAGCGAGTTCATAACCATAAGGCTAATTTTATGAATGTAAGCGGTGTATTTGCTGGTCCAGTGTTTTGTTATTGTTTGTTTGTGTGTGTGTGTGTGTGTGTGTGTGTGTGTGTGTGTGTGTGTGACACATAACGAGTGTTGTTTTTATTAATTAATTAATTGTTAATAACTCTTTATTTCCTCAGATGAAGATGACATCTGATCAGACCACAGAGGGTTTTATTCCAGGAGACATAGTGTTTGCTAAGATGAAGGGTTATCCTTTCTGGCCTGCCAGGGTGAGTTTATATACAGCAGAGCAGATATAAGGCATATAGAGTAAATGAGGTCAATTAAAATCTGACTGTACATGTGTTGTTTTATATGTCACTCAGATTGGTGAAGGAAAATCCCCCCAAAATAAGATCCCCATCTTCTTTTATGGAACACACTCCACGTGAGTAAACTGGAATCACACACACACTCTCTCACGCACACACACTCTCTCTCTCACACACTCACACACACATTCTCTCACTCACTCACACACTCTCTCACGCACACACTCTCTCACTCACACACTCTCTCACGCACTCACTCACGCACGCACTCACACACTCACTCACGCACGCACTCACACACTCACTCAC